CTCACAGCCAGAGGGGGTGGGAGGGAGGAGCTTGGTGGGGCGGGGCTTACAGACAGCAGGAGTGGGAGGGAGGAGCTTGGCGGTAGGGGCGGGGCTCACAGCCAGAAGGAGGAGGGGTGGGAAAGGTGGAAAGCAGACCAGCCTTAGCAAGTGAGCAAAGAGGTGGGAGCTGGGTGGTAAAGACTCCCTCTGCCTCCTCCTGCTAGAAGGCAGCCCACTGAGAATCCTGGCCCCCGGTCTGGCCCTTAGCCTTGGCACAGGCTCATCTGGGCTGCCTCACACTCCCTTCCTCTAACCCCATCCTACTCTGGTGCAAGTATGAGTTGCAGTGGGCAGTCTGCGGGAAACCTGGGCTGCAGGTTGAATCCGGAGGCAGGTCCTCCTCTAGGACCGCCTCTTCATTGATGGATGCCCCTTGTACCTCCTCTCCCTTGTTATCTATCTCAGTCACACACTTTCTGCTTTGCCTAATTAGTTTCTGTCTGGCTCGCCTCTCCAATACCCCTCCTCCAGATTCCTCTCTGGAGAACAAGGTAGGCTCTCCCTGCCTACCACAGCACAGGGCCTGGCGGTAGCAGGCCCTCAGTGTGACTGGAGTGGAGGGAGCCCTTCCTAGGCTCACTTCCGTGCTGTCACTTGCTTTATCTCCATCCAGTCACCTCCTTGGTCTGACCCTTCCTGTGTGTTCATGTGGGAAACCTCAGTCCTGGGCCCTCCGGGGAGCCTGCTCTTGAGGTGCCTCAGCAGCCCCCATACATCTCTGATAAGCGTCAAGTGATCTGTACGCTGCGCAAACTCAGGTATTCAGTGTGGTGGTGATCCCCTTTGGCGGGAGGGGGGGTGCATTCGAAGCAGCTGTAAATGCCTGCAGAAGGAGCCCTGTCCTGCCTGCTCTTCCTTGAGTGTGACTTCCACACTCCTGACCACCCTTAAAAGTGAAGAGATGCAGAAGCAAGGTGACTTCCAAGGCTAGGTCACAAGGGGGAGCAGCTCCCTGCTCACTCTGGGTGCTGTTTACTATGTCCCTGCTGGCTCTACTGTGTGGAGGCCAATGCCCATGCCATGAACACCCTAAGGAGTCCACTTGGAGTCCATTTACACCCCTGATGACAGCCAACACCAGCCACCAGACCTGTGAAGGAATGAGCGAGTCTTCACTCCAGCTCCCAGCCTGGGGTCCAGGCATCCTAGAGCACAGATCAGTCTTCCTCACTGTGCCCCGTGAGTTCCTGACCCTGAGAATCCATGAGCAGAATAAGTGGCTGTTTGACCCTCTTTGCACATTGTCCTAGTAACGGGAACAGGATCCCTAAGGCGAAACCTCTCAGGAGGCATCCACTAGATGTCTAGGGGCTTCTAAATGAGAAACACATAGGTAAGGCAGGGAAATGTCAGCTCCCAGCCAAGCTATACACGGCCAGGCGTTTGTGATTTCCTCTGAATACACTCGGGACCCTGTGTGTCTCTATACTCAGGGTTGTCGGTGCTTCTTCCCCACATAGAGCTGGAAGCCTCACCAAGTCTGGGATATTGCAGAGACCCTTTCCCTAGCCATCCCAGGTCCACCCCTGCAAAGAGCCCTACAGAGACCCATCAGTCGGCCACACTCATCCATGAGGGGGCTCTGGGTTCCTGCTTCTCACCTAACCTGCAGGGTGCATTGTCAGCTCCTGTTGCCAGTTCTGGGTCAGGGATCAGAAGCCCAGCCATCCACCATACTTGAACAGTCAAAGTTTCCGTCCTGTCTCAGCCTGGGCTGCAGTGCCCCTGGCTCACCAACTCCAATCTCTGAGAGGGGAGTGGGTGGATAGGAGTCAGCAGAGACCAAGATACCAAGAAGAAGAATGAGGCAGAGTGGAAGGGTTAAGTGGAGAGGAAAGATGGAAGGTAAAAGAATCAGAAGCAGGGCTGGATAGATGGCTCAGTAGTTAAAAGCACTGGCTGTTCTTGCAGAGGACCAGGGTTCGATTCCCAGCACTTATGTGGCAACTAACAACCATTTGTAACTCCAGTTCCAGGGGATCTGACATCCTCTTCTGACCACCATGGACATTGCACAACATGGGTGCACTTATATACATGCATACAATACACTCAAGCACGTAAAATAAAAATAAATAAAATATATTTAAGAAATAGAATCAGAAGCAAAGAGCAAGGAGAAGCTAGATGCACAGAGAGAAGAGAGAGAGGAGCCTTAGAGAGATGGGGACTGGAGCCTGAGAGAGAGGAGGGCTAGAGCCTTACAGAGGGGAGGCTGGGCGTCCTTAGGTTTGCCTCAGGAGCTCTACTGACTTGATAGGAGCTTTCAGTGCTTAGGGGTAGCAAGGGGATCTCTCCCTGCCCCAACGGGGTGCCCTCCACAAAGAGAAAGACTGAAAACCTGCTGCTTGCTAATCCCCGGCCCTCCAGCTTAAAAATTCCCTTCCCTCCTTTGGAAAAAAAAAAAAAAAGAAAAAGGAAAGACATGGCGCCCCCTCCACAAGGCTGATTTAAAATGCCAGGACTCAGCTCCTTGCCCTCCCTCTCCTGACGTCTGAATGTATTCCTTTATTATCATGACAGCTTTCTGATTGCATTAAAATTCATCCGCACGTGTCTTTCTATCCAGCCTCTTCTCTTTGCCAATGGTTTTCCTCCCTCTAAGCCCCCTCCCTTTACTGCATAGTTCTCTGGAGACTTTCTCAGCATGTAGGTGCCAAGCTGCCCCTTTGCTGTCCATCCCAATGGCCCCAGGGAAACTGCAGTCAGTCTGTCTTTCCCAAAGGCTACATACATGACATGGAACAGACCTGCTTCCAGCCTCCTTCCTCCAGCTGTTTTTCAATGAGCTCTACATAGTGCTGATGTTCCTTTCTAGAATCCTGAGTGGCACTAGTTGGAGCTTTTCTTCCTAACATTTTGGGTTTTGTTACTGTGGAGTTGGTCCTGACTTGTCTTTCAGACCAAGGACTAGAAGAGTTTTGAGTCTGGAGTGGACATTCTGGGCAGGCCTAGCACTTCTCACTCAGTTTCCTTGCCTCCAGCTATGGAGCTGACTGCTCCATACCTCAGTTTTCCAGGTCTATAAAGTGGGGACAGTTTGGCCTTCTTGCCCATGGTTGCTAGGATTCTGGAAGATGCTGCAGAGACAGTGTCTGGTGAGCGGTAATAATAAGACTACTTGGGATTCTTTATGCCAAAGGAAGAGAAAATGGGGTGCTGTCTCCCCTTGTTTTGCTCTGCCCTGATTTGGCCCAGAAAGCTGCCCCTGCTGTGAGGTGACCAAGGTCACAGAGCAAGAGAGGACATAGGATCCACATCTCAGGGTGGGGAAGGCACCTTCAACATCAGGCTGAACCAGATTCAGACTAGCTGAGATGGTGACATTTCCCTCCCACCCGCTCTGCCTATCTCCCTTCTGTCACTTTCCCTATGAACTGTACCAAGCTCTGTCAGATGGCCAGTGGTATCGCTGAGCTAGCATCTTGGATCCGATACCAACCTAGCAGAGTCTCAGAGAGTGGGTCTGTTTCCCCACCTAGTACCAGCTTCCTCCACCTCAGACACAGAGCCTGACTCCTGAAGTAGGCTGAACAGTCCTCAGTGCTGCCCAGCGGTGGGTTTACAGGGCAGCCATGTCAGCCTCCCTTCCCCTGGAGTGGTCAGTTACTGCTTCCTGTGCTCACTGTGCAGCTCTGGACTGCAAGCCAGTAGGGCCTGGTTGAGGGAGAGGCTGTGACTGTGCCCTGGGGGTTTCCGAGAGGAGGTGGGCCAGCAGTAGGGTCTATGGGGAGCAGATGCAGGGGATCTGCACACAGCCCGAGGATCTGAGCAACGACAGAGGAGGAGCCCTTTTGTACCCTTCTCACCTGTTCCAACACGGTTCCCAGGTAGGACAGAGAGGCAGGAAAAGTTAAGGACTTAAGGGGTCGGTAGGAAGGGGAAGAAGCCCCTGGATCTAGTTTGTGTTAAGAGTCAAAAAACTTAAACACAACTGAAAAACCAAGATTGCCTACAGAAATAATGCATGTTTTCCTAAAGACATCTCAAGGGACTGGAGAGATGGCTCAGCTGTTAAGAGCACTGGTTGCTCTGGCAGAGGACCTGGGTCTGATTCCCAGCACCCACAGGGTGACGAACAACCATCCGAAACTCCAGTTTCAAGAGAATCCAACACCTCTCTGACATCCTCAGGCACTGCGCGACACAGGTGCATTTACACACATCAGGTGGTACACTCATACACATGAAATAAAAATAGTAAATAGAATATTTTTTTTTTTTAAAGGATGTCTCAAACAAGGGCATTCAAAAGAACAAAATGAACTCTGCTCACTTAGGACCAGAATGTTTGTGCCCTTGAGTTTAACCGCATCAGCACTCCTCTTTTCCCTAAATCTAAACAACACACCTCAAACAAAAACAGCTAGGCATGGTGGCAGACACCTTTGATTTCAGCACACAGAGGCAGAGTCTCTGTGAGGTCAAGGCTAGAGTTCCGGGCAGCTGTGGCTACAGGGAGACCCTGACTCCAGGGGGAAAAGAGATAAAAAGTTTATTTAAGCTAAGATAAAGAAGTAAACTAGCTTGTATTTTTCTTA